ATCAGAAAGCAAAACCAGCCTCCCACATTTCCAAGACTTGTTGACCATGCTTTACCCGCCTCTGCGGTGATATCAGTTCAGTCGACTGCGCATTCCAGCGGAATTACCAGTTAATACAATTTTCTAATTTCATTCATAAAATCTCGCGAGATATGACGGTAATTTGCGGGAGGATGACGGGGTCAGACAAACACGGCCAAGATGGAGGTTGTTTAATTACATGGGCCGACGAGGATGGGAGATGAGAGTAAAACATCCCTGTTGTATGACGTTCCTTGGGAGGCTTCTAATTGCATGAAATGTCAGTTCGTAATGTCAGCCAAAGAAAATAATTCTCTGCAATCTCTCTGATCCCATCCATGCGTGATCATGAGGCGTCACTGAATTGTAAGAATTGGACAAACACCAGAAAAAAATATCTTCGCCGGTTTATCTGTCAAAGAATTGAGTAAAGTCATTGATCGGAAAAGCTACGAGGGACTATAGCTTTAATCTGATAACATTTCCCAAATGTCCTCGGCCACCTTTGATGAGGAGGCTAAATGCGAGTAATACTGGTTGGTAATTGTGTTTATTGAAATTATGAAAACGCTAAACTCCTTCATCGGACTACAACAAATTAAGTACGCTGTACTTGTTTGTAAGAATGACATCTTCGATTATCTGGTTGGTTTGCTTGTGATTCTATGATGATGGCCAGATGTCTCGTTTCACCTGAAGATTTACCTTCATTCCAGAAAGGGCAACCAAAATATGTCTGAGGCAAATGACACCTGAGAGGTCATTTGATGATATTCTAATTTAGGTGGGTTGTCGTGGATGAATCTTGATTTGGGTCTCCGAAAAGTGACAAAAACACGTTATCATATATTATCTTTATTTCCTGATACCTCGGATATCTAATTGATTTCTGATAACACGAGCCTGTTCATGATATTGCTATAAATCTAGGTACTGACTTATTCTAAATCATCATACTTAATTTTACGGTGGCACGGGTGGCCCAGTCGTCTCAGGCGCTGCAATTTTCTGTGCAGAGTTGCGTCCCTTGTGCACGCGAAAAACCTATGCTCGTGGGGTTCGAACCCAGGTCACCCCGATTATGTTTCTAGGTTTGGCAGCATCATACCCGTGCTTCACCAAAGTGGTAAATGTCTGAGACCTACATCACTTCGGGCTTTCCTCCCACATTAAGCTGACACAATAATATAACTGGAATACCGTTCATAGCGGCTGAAAACCTTGCACTCACTCACTCTAAATCACTTGTTTTAATTAAAGTGATTAAATTAACTTCTCCAAACCTCATTGATAGAAATATAGTTTACAATTTCATATCCAGTTGGAGTTATATAAGGGTCACGACTGACGACAGATTATGAAGTGTGATAGTAACGTGAACTAGTGAAACTAGCACATCCAGTTGCAATATGGATTCCGGGATAGAATAGGTCATCAGCAACCCATGCTTGCCGTAAAAGGCGACTATGATTGTCGTAAGAGGCTAGGCCACTAATGGTCAGGCTCGCTGATTTGGTTGATGCATGTCATCGTATCCCAATTGCATGGATCGATGCTCATGATATCAATCACTGGATGGTCCAGATTATTCACAGACCACCGTCATATAGCTGGAATATTGCTGAGTGCGGGGTTAAACAACAAACAAACAAATCCTCCAAATGCTGATGAGATTGGACTGAGATGAGCTGATTGTGTGTGCAGCTGTCTGGGGCCCTTGTCCTGGGCTTTTTTACGATAAAGTATTTCATGAACAAGCCTAAGCTTGCTGGAAGTTACATCACGTGACATCTACCTGCTTGGGTCCTTAGAGTGTTTACACTTAGTCAGACGATGTCATGTTAGTAGTGGGTTCAATGGATTGTTAGATTTCATTCTCGTTAGATGCGATCTTGTGAGATGTATTAGACGCGATCTCTCGAGACTCATCCAAGCCACGCGAGATCTCGCAAGATGCATACAGTCAATGATGGTTGTCTGGCTTTTAGTATTACTGATGTTACTTATATTAAATTCTTACTTAAATGTACTATGTATGGACACAGTTGTTAGAGATCAATTCTTTTGTACCAGGCGCGACCAAATTACACCTGATGACGTTGTTGTTTTTTTGTATGCGCAATGCCTACTATGATAGCATGTTGATTAGTAAAGTAAACTTAATAGCGGTTTGCAAATAGTGTTTTTGGTTGGACAGCCCCATAGTGAAGTTACTAGTCGTCCAAGTGGACATCCCTTCCCTAGCCCATCCCCCCCCCCCCCCCCCCCCCCCCCCCCCCCCCCCCCCCCCCCCCACACACACACACACACTTTTTTAATTACCATTGACCCGCCCCTGTTTTATATCATCGTACCCCGGCGGCGTTGATCATTGCTTATGATATCAATCCCTGGTGTGTGTGTTCCAGACTCGATTTATTTACATACCATTGTCATTAAACCTTATTCACTAGTTTGAGTGTGGAAACGTAGTTTTACGGGGTTTTTGGTACACGTTATTATTTTTAAGAGGGGCGGTCGGGTAGCCTAGTGGTTAAAGCGTTCGCTCGTCACGCCGAATACCCGGGTTCGATTCCCGACATGGGTACAATGTGTGAATTTCCGTGATATTGCTGGAATATTTCTAAAAGCGGCGTAAAATCATACTCACTCACTCACTCACTATTTTTAAGATATGTTAAAACATCTGTTTCAAGTTACCAACCTGTAATTATTAGTATTATCGTTATTGTCGTTGTTGTTGTTATCAGTTTGAAATATAGAGGTCTTGTACCCATCCTAAGTGCGTCACCCGTACTCGTGGATTTCATCAAAGTGGTAAATGGAAACACCTAGAAAGATAACCGTCGGATTCTGTAACCATAAAACATTACACGCAATAACGCTGAAACGTTAGGCGACAAGAAAAGCGCCCGCGCTAAGACTTGCTCCTTTCATTATTCCCAGGTAGGAAATCCAGCCGTCTCATCACTCAGACTGTTTGGTAATGGGAAGCTATTCTCTGTTGAAGTGTTTGGGCTTTCAGTGAAAGTAAACAAGCCACACCAGAGACCAGTAAGTTCCCTTTCCCTATAATTATGATAACGTTTCTTTGAAATCATTTTATAACAGTTTGATTACCTGAAAGACTTCGATGTGGATTAACAACTCAGAGTTTGCTTCTTCGTTATAGCTAACGCT